GCAGGTGAGCGCGGCCGGGGGGAGCGGGGCTCCCCTCCAGCCTGTCCCCGCAGGGCGCTGGAGGGGGCTGGAGCGGGGGACACGCCGCAGGGGAGCAGCACCGGGCTCCGCTTCCAGGCGCCGCGGCTGGCGGGGGCTCCGCTCGTGCCCGCGGGAGGCACTGCCGCCGCGCCCGGCTCTGCGCATCGCCCTGCTTGTGAAACCTCTCGCGCGCAGGGCGGCTGGCTCCTCAACCTTTAGTCCTCTGTAATAAACTGACTGCGTCTTCATGGCTTTGCAACTTCTGCTGCGGCTCCTAATCTACCCCCCCCCATCCCCATTTCTATTTGCAATCGACATTGTTTTTTAATGAAACCTCCGTGCAGCAGGAGTTTGGTTTCCGTTTGGTTAAAACTTTTTTTCTTCTTTCTTTTTAATGGGGCACCAAAGAATGAGTGCATTAGATTTAGCCTTGACTATGCTTTTCTAATCTGAAGGGGTTCGTGTTGGAGTTTAATGTGGATCAGGATTTCTGCCTTGCGATGGAGAGAGTGCAAACCCGTGAAATGTGAATTTCTAATAGAGTGTATTTTCAGTCCAGATTGTGCAAAATTAATTTAAAATATGCATACAATTGGCAATTGCTTATGAACTTCCTGCGTTTCTTGACAGGTCGTAAAACACTGATTAGTAAATCCAGTTGGGGAGATATTCCCAATGTACAGCTGGGATGGGGCAAAGTCTGCAGTTCCCTGTCAGTTTGATTGGCAAGTTCCCAACAATCTGGTTTTGCATAAGGAGCTCTGCTTTGCAGTGTCCTAAGCATTTCAGGTTTGTGTGAACCAGGCCTATAACCTGACAGTCTCATGTCTGCCTAAACAAAAGTTCAGGGCTCTTATTTTACAGGGCTGGCCAAGCAGGGCAGGACATAGCATGGTCCAGAGCCAGTACTGAGTGCCAGTACTGAGCACTGAGTGCCCGTGGAAGGGGATGCATGAACTAAATGTGAGTCACTTCCTGTTACTGCCAGCTTGGGGATAAACTGGTGACCCAAGCCTGGAATCTCCCATTGTCACCACATCAGTCCCATTTTTGCTCATCAAGGAAATGATGCGTTCTTGGTGATCCTGTCGCAGAGGTCAGACTAACTTCTTCGGTGGGATGGCCACATTGAGAACCATATTTGTAACCACCCTAACCAGAGTACAAGCTGACATAGGGCTTGGGGTGGGGCTTGTCAGACTTCATTCACTGCACTCAAGCTTGACCTTTTGGCCTTCCGATAAGAGGTAGCGATAGCGATTCTGTCGGACTGTGGGGGCTGTTTGTTCGTTCCACCCATTCCCTGTATAAATGTGTGCTGTTTCTTCAGAATCAATAGCTGCTGTAACTTTTTTTTCTTTTTTTTTTTAAAGATGTGACAGTCAAATCAAATACTTTGGGGCCCAAGCTGATTGCCACAGAGATCAGGATGGAATTCTCTGTATAAAATATAGCATTATGCAATCAAATAGTTGTATCCAGAGCTGTCTCCCTTCTGGGGTTTATACCTTACCTATCATGGCATCTAAATAGTTCAGCCTTCTTGCAAACAAATTATAAAGCAGACTTGATGGGTCAGTGATTTCCTATAATAGATGTGAAGACATTTTTGCTTTTAGTGAGATTGTATCTCATAAATATCTAGCTCAGATCCTTTAGGCAGCTTTAAAAACCTTAGCCACAGGTCCTGTGAGTGCTCCTAATATTTTCCAGCAAATGTCTCATACAGTTAGATTGCTTACACTGCAGGTGTAGCAAGACCGAGAAGCACCTTAATAAAAGGCCTAATGGAGACTCCTAAGCCTCTCCCACAAAATATTGCTCTGTGAAAACTAGAAACTACATTATGATACATGCCCAGTCATTCCTGTTACTGTAATTATAATTCTGCCTGATACAATGATGTCACATTTATTGAGTGAAAGTGCTGTTCTGACCACACTGAAACCTTGTCAGACTAACCTGAGTCCTGTTTCTAGACCTGAGTTCCATTTCTAGTTCTGCCTATGACTAGCTGTGTGGTCTTGGGTGAATCATGACACTATTCTGCTGTTCATCCACCTGTAAATTGGAGGAAATGTTGCTTCCCTCTTTCTTTAAAAAGAGCGTTGAGAGGTGTAGAAGAAGAAATGCTATTGTGGCAGCTCAAAGTTGTCCACTGCTGCAGTGGACATACTGCGTAAAGGATCACCTGTTATGCATTAATGTAGAAGAATTGAGTTCACAAATGGCAATAGCAGATCTTCCAAGATACACAGTAATGGGCCACTTGGGGCACCAGAAAGGCAGAATATCAAATAGACAAGTGCAGTGGATCAGCGGGTGTCTCCTGAGATCTGTAGGAGGAAGTACTGTTTGGTTGGACCAACTCCTAGAACAAACAGTACAAGGGGGGTGGGGAAACCTCATTCATCAATGTAGTCATAAAACAATTGGCATATCTTCTTGACATTAAAACATAAAAGCCTCAAGTTAGCTTAAAACAGCTTTATGACTGGTGTGCATGTGGTGCAACTTATTACTAGGTGTTTAATTTATTATCATGTTACTCAGAAGTAAACATGAAATTTAAATAATTTTCCAGTATAGCAATAGATGGCAGTATTATAAATTTCTCATTTCATTTTGACCAAAGAAGGTCAGTGACAGATTTAACTAGGTCATTAATATTGAAATTGGCTCAACTTTCTGAATTACAATTTATAATGGGACTTGATGTGCACAGGTATGTGTAGTCAGTGTATCTGACATTGTCACTTTATTGCTTGTGCTCTATAATTTGGCTTCAAAAGAGAATCTCTAAGTCCACTGTGTTTCATTTGAATGTTTAGACAATTCCTGTCCTCAGTATTAATTGGGAGCACTTGCAGCATCTGCTTTATTGCATTTCAGCTTTCAGTTCTCTTTTTCCCCCCTCATGTGATTAAACATTCACCTTTCGGTGAAATGCACCCACCCTTGTGCTGAAGATGAGCGTGTGTACCCTTAGTATTATGTAAGGCTTACTTTGAAGGTTTGTGAAGGATATAAGTTATGCGTAGGTTTTCACAACATGAATTTTCTTCTTTTTAGCAATACTTTAGGATATTTATTCATTGTCTGCAAAGAAAGAAATACAGTAAAAGCTGACTTCTTCAGTCTTGGTCTCAGCAGAGTGACTTTACATATGTGCAATACTGAAAGATAACCACCCCAGTGATTTTTCTGGACCAGTTGTAAATATACATGAGCACTGTATATTTGCTATATGAAATAGCACATTAAAAGTTGTTTCTTGATTATATTAAGTACTGCTGTATGTTTTGAGGGCAAGAGACTAAAGGTCAGGAACCAGCCCCTTTCTCCTATCATCCAGGTTCTTGATGTGGCTTTCAAGATTATTCAAAAGCACATGTTTGTAAGCAGTGTTGTTATTAAAGTTTGAGTTTTCTTTGAGCTTCCTCATGTAACCTCTATCAAGTGGGTTCTACTGACACACATAATAATGAGTCACATCAACAGTAAATGCAAACCATATGTTGGTTTTGTTTTTTCCTTTTTTACACATGGCTTCTCATAACTTTTCTAAATGCTGACTGAGTTATAAATCCTGCATCACTTGTTCTGCACCTGAATATATTGGTGGCATGGGAAAGTAAAAAAGAGGGAGATATCATGAGGTCTGTTTTCAGAAATCAGGGTTTAATATTCATTATTTATGCCATGGTAATGTGCTCTATTTTGGCCCTACCACAGACTACCTTTGTGACCCTGGACTAGTTACTTAGCTCCTGTCTTGCCTCAGTTCACACATCTGTAAAATAGGGATGCTGTGAAACTTAATTAACACATTGGAAAACTTACTTTACCTAAACTGGAGAAGAGCTGAAGGGTCCCATTGTATATGGCATTGTGTGAAAGCTGAGTGAAAGATAAACCCTGAGTTTGAGGGTAGATACCCCAAGCCTGGGAGGGGAAGCAAAGGCACAGAGGCAAATATTAGAACCTAACTGTTCTGGCTGCCAGTTCACTGCTGTACCCATTAGGCCATGCATCTTTCAAACCCATCCTGAAAGCTGAAAACATTAGAATCTAGTGCACAATTATAAATATCCTTAGGAAAATGCTTTGGGTGTACTTGCATGAGTAAAAGTTTGCAAGGTGACGGCTCATACCCAGTAAAGTAACTAAAGATCAGTAACATGGTGGATAGCCTTTAGAATGACCTTGCCTCAGAGACTGACTCTAAGTTCTCTCTTGCGTGTCACTGCTGTCTCCCCTTTTTCTCATGTTGTCAAACTCTGCAGCAGTTCTCACTGTTGTGAGGTGTGTTTGTTTCTATATTTGGCAAAGATAGTGGAAGATTTAATGTGGATTTAATATTCATTATTTATGCTATGGTAATGTGCTCTATTTTGGCCCTACCACAGACTTCCTTTGTAACCCTGGACTAGTTACTTAACCACTGTCTCGGCGGGGGGTTGTTGTTTTTTCTTAATAAAGGTTTAGATTGTTTTGTCTGAGGCTATTTAAAGCCCACCCCAAAATAGTAGTACAGTTCATGGTCTCAGTCTTGTACGAGGTGATGAGTGTTTGAAGGCAATGGGTCAGGCCCTTGGCGATGGATTCAGCGATGCTATAAATGGGGGGTGAGGATGGTTCTTTGCTTACTTGTCCCTTTTCTGAGATTTGAGGTTATGATGCTTACTTAAGTTGTATTATTCATTTAATTTCCCTCTTTTTTTTTCTTTCCTTAGTGGCTTAACTCATGAGTCTCACAAGAAGGACGTTGAACAGGTCTACCTCCGCTGTTCTGAAGGATCAATAGAGTGGATGTATCCCACAGGAGCACTAATAGTCAATCTGCGACCCAATATGTTTTCTTCCTCTTCCAAACACTTGACTGTTTGCATAAAGCCCTTCAAGGACTCCACAGGAGCAAATATTTATTTGGAAAAAACTGGAGAACTGAAACTGTTGGTCCGAGATGGAGATCGCAGCCCCAATAAAGTGTATTGCTTTGGCTACGATCAGGGGGGCCTGTTTATTGAGGCTACCCCTCAGCAGGACATTAGTCGGAAAATTACAGGCTTCCAATACGAACTGATAAGCAAGGGGATAGCGTCCGATTTGCACACAGTTTCTGGTGAGTTGTGAGCCTCTGGCCACATTTTAAAATACTATATTTACAGTGCTTAATAGATAGCAAAGTGATTAAGTGGTAATGTATTGGGGTCTAAATTTCACTTGCTTTTAGAGCATGTTGTTTAAGAAGCCTTTCCATCAAAGACTTGTTTATGAACTGATCCAGAATCATCACCAGCAGTGATTTCAATATCTTCTCATACATGCACACACAGGGGTAAATCAAGAGTAACTCCACTGAAGTTACATCAGTGTTGAGCAGTTTGAGTCTACAAAGAATCAGGCTCTACGGTGATTAATATTATTTTGTAGCTTTTATAATTTTAAGACCTTACTGCTTTCTTTTTTGAATAGCAAACATTGGAACAAGGGGCAATTCCTCTTACTGTTTTTTCTTTCTCTCCCCATACATACTCTGTTTGCTGACCTAAATACCTTTTGTTTCAACAAGCATAAACACAGAGGCTGGAATACCAGTATACTACTTGAGGAGTAGCATCCTTGCATTTATGCAGAGGCTTGGACCAAATGACTGCCAAGGTGCTTTCCAGCCATATGATTTGGTTAAACTTGCTGAGTCAACGCTCTGAAATGGAAGGGCACTAACACTGCTATAATGATTTTCACAGACCTAGCACTCAGTCTTGTATATCCTGCATACCCATACCTTGCATTGTAGCTGCCTTTCTTTTCAAGACCTAGGAGATGAGATCAGTTTTCCCTGATGGGTAGTGGATCTGGGATATTTTGTACCAAATGAGAAATTAAGTTTCAAAGTTGATATTGCTAGGGGTCCCAAGATGTATATAAATCTGTAGATTAAAACCAACTGCCTAAATATAGCTTAGAAAGCAATAGTTAGGCAGTACACATTTTGGGAGACCTGGTTTCATGTACTCTAATTAGAGACACTGTTTTACAAGTAATAGTACAGCTAATGAACTTATGCTATTATCTTGTTTTCCATAGTTCTCATAATTGATGCCAAAGTATACGTAAAGACAGGCCTCCTCTTTAAGCAATAAAACACCTGCTTTCTGTTGTATGCAGGTACTTTCCATTATGAGGTAAATTTGGATATTTGTCGATCAGCTAAAATGTAGTGGTTTTGAATTCAGCTGTTTGGATTGGCATGTAATGGACTTAGTGATATAAGGATTAACTGAAATACTGGTGCAACACTCATCACAACTGATAGGTGGCGCATTTGCCATTAAAACCAAAAAGCTGAAAGTATAATTATGAAAATTGTTTCATTTCATCATTGTAGTTTAGTGTGGGATATTTAGGATGAATTGTCTAGTCTTATGTTGAATGTGTTGCAAAAGATTCCAAGTTGTTTTGGCTTTCATTGCCCACCGAGTTGGCCACCAAGTTGTTTTGGCTTTCAATTACTTTTGTAGAAGATGAGCATGCAATACAACTCATTCTCAACAGGATGACACAGCGCCCTGGAATGATGCAAGATCCTTTTAAAGGTGCCACGCAGTATTGGTATTGTTAGGTGTGTAAACACCTACACATGATTCACAAGATAAACCCAGAGTTTACAAACAGGGATCCAGAGTGTCAAAAGCATTCTGACCGGTTGTGGGTTTTTTTGAGTTCCTTGCAACAAAAAAAATTGCCCTATTATTTTTCTGCAGTGGAAAAAATGTGTGAAATTTAAGAGCTGGCATTTTCTGAGGGGAGGCCTTCCACCCAAAAAGGTTGAGAGCCATTGTACTGTACAGTACACAGTCTTTCACAAAGGGATTTTACATGATCTTTAAATACTTTTAAAATCTGATGGAACCTTTGAATTTAAGATTTTTTTTTGTGGGTGAACTAGGGTGAGAAATTCATCAAGGAGCTTGGTGCTGCTTTGACTATATATGAAGTGAATTTTGCTAGTAACTGCCCTGCTTAAAAAACAAAACAGAAATGATAGTATACAAATAATGCTTTGACCGTGGTGTTTTAAATTCACTGGCAGTTCTGCACCTCTGTAGAAGTTGACCAAAGTCAGTGAGACTCCCTTTCTACAGAGATCTAGATTATAGGAGCAGGACCAAATATACACAACCTGTGCAAACAGCTAATTCTCAGCTCAACAAATGTAGCAACACTGGAGCTGTTAACTTGAAACAAACCTATATGGCAAATTCTTAATACAGGTATACCTCGGAGATGTTGCAGGTTCGGTTCCAGACCACCTCAATAAAGCGAGTCACATGAATTTTTTGGTTTCCCAGTGCATATAAAAGTTATGTTTACACTATACTGTAGTCTAGTAAGTGTGCAATAGCATTATGTCTAAAAAAAACAATGTACATACCTTAATTAAAAAATACTTTATTGCTAAAAAATGCTAACCATCATCTGAGCCTTCAGCAAGTCGTAATCTTTTTGCTGGTGGAGGGTCTTGCCTCAATTTGTAAAAAACGCAATATCTGCAAAGCGCAATAAAGTGAAGCGCAATAAAACGAGGTATGCCTGTATATCAGAACTTTTGGAAGTGGGAGGCAGTTTTCTCTGGTAATTTTTCAAAAGCCACATTAGTGACTATCTAATCATAGGTTTATTTTTTGATATAGATATTAAGTTGTTTTATTTAACATGTTGAGCTCAAGTACTGTTTTCCTGAGCAATGATGATAGGTCTTGGTGCATGAAACAGATAGTAACAGACACAAGATAGCCTTAGGAGGACTTTTTTTCCCCATAGTGCTAGCCAGGAAACACAGATCAAACTCGGGTTTTTTGAACGGTTGCTGTAGTTGCCTGTTTTTGGAAACCCCACGCCCTTGGAGATGTATCCATCATACATTCTTGCTGTATGTGGCTCCTGCCAGCAGTCAGTCAGATGAATTTGATTTTATTCCTTAATAAATGCCTTTGCTGTGTGCAGGAACAGCCAGGTAAGTAGCTGCATATACCTGCAATAGGTCTATGTTTTGGCATCTTAGCAGATCACAGTCATTCTTCTGTAGCAGATTCTAGTTTGCTGTTAAGCCACTGAAAGAATTCTTCATTTGCTTGATTGCCTGCTAGGCTCCTGTTTATTTGGGGGGATAAGTTTGCCATCAGTTGATTTCTAAAAGTACTGTTTCTTCAGCTGAGAAAAGACTTGAGCCAGAGGCAAGCTTGTAACCGTAAATATGTTGAAAGCCTGATTTAAAGTTTCATCCAAAAGGGGGTTTTGTTACTTTGGCACATGTTTGGACTTTGATTGTGTGGCTGTCACAAAATGGAAAAGTGAGTCTGATCATCTCCTAGTCACAGTTTGGTAGAATTCAGCAGAGCCAGAAGTGTCTGAAGAGATGCTTGTGACTCAGTGCTGTTGCCGTACAAGGCCGAGATATTTTGCCAGCGCTGGATGAGGGAAGTGCCTTTAGTTCCTCGCTTTTATACTAAAGTCAAAAAAT